CCCCGCCCCGCCCCGCCCCAGCCCGGCCCAAGAGGGCGCTGTGCGTGGCGGTCGCCTCGTGTCGTGTCGGGGCGCTCGCCGGGACCGGGGTGAGGGGGGCTGCAGCCAGACCCCTTGGCTTCGTGCCCCGGTCCCGCCCGCGCACACGCGGGAGGGGAGAAGCCGCTGGGGACATCGCCCGGCCTCCGCCCCCTCAGGTGCGCGCCCAGCGGGGGGGCCTAGCCAGGGCGGGCGGCGGGAAGCCGAGGGTAAGCAGGCAGGGCCCGGCCGGGATGAGCCCCAGCTCCTGCCGCGGGAGTGAGTGGCAGCTGGCTGTAGCAGGGGCAGGGGCTGGTGCTGGTGCTGGTGCTGTGAAAAGGCCGGAGCCGGGGAGCAGACGGCGGTCGGGGAAGAGGAGGGCGCTGCGGAGGCATCGGGTCCACCCCGGCCTGAGGCAGAATCAGCCCTACTCAAACCATCCCCTACCTCCGTGGTGTAAACGCTACATAAGGCAGCCCTGGCACAGGTCAAGCATCCTGTGTCTCTGAAACGTCTTCAGTACATGGTCCCGAGGTCCCAGGCAGAGGTAAACTTCTTTCCTGACCCCAAAGACAACCGCGGGTCTGGCCCTGAGCAGACAGACAAGACCCTCCAGGCAAGAACCTCTGGCACTGGTCCCAGCAGGAGCACTGGCACACCCCAGTCAAAGTCCCCAGTCTTGGCTGTAGTTGGCACCCAATGCCTCTGACGGAGGCTTGAAAACACCCCAACTCGTATAGCAGAAAAGGAGGAGAGGGGGAAGTTTTCTGGTTTCTTAAAAGGAAACTGGAAAAGGAAATATAATGGACCCAGAGACTCATTGGTGATGTTTTGGGGGTGCATGCAGGTGCACATGCACCCCCAAGATCATCTGTGCAGCCCCTGGAAGCACCAGTGGCAAAACCAGAAGTGCACTTCTGGTTTGGCTGCTGGCTCAGTGATCAGCTGCTGGGGAACCCCCCCCTCCCCTGGTTGCAATCGGCTGCTGTGGAACCTCTCTCCGTCGGCTGTCTGGTGCCCCTCAAACTTGGGAGGCACCAGTTGCCCATGCAGAAAGCAGCAAGTGACCTGAACAAGGCCTGGCCCACATCAAAGTGATCCAAGGCCAAAAAGCACTATATAAGAACTAAGTACTAAAGGATCAGAGAGGAAGCAA